CATGCTAGAGCACTGAACAACTGAAATAGAAAAGACGACGTTACCAGCAGTAAAGCCGGTTTGCTTCAGAGGAGAGTTTACACTGAGGAGATAGTTCAGTGGCTAAAGAACTTGCTGTGGAAATATGACTGCCTGAGTTCATGGCCCTTGAATCCATGGAGAAAGCTGGGCATGGCAGTGTGTGCCTGGTACCCCAGTTCTCAGAGGCAGAGTGCAGAGACAGGAGGATCCTGGGGGCCTGATGACCAGCCAGTTGAGCCAAAATGGTGAGCCCCAGGATTAATTAGAGACCCTGTCTCAAAAAAATATGGTTGAGAGCAATACTGGAATTCAAAGTCTATCTCTGGCCTTCACACTCCCCACATACACCACACACACACACACACACACACACACACACACACACACACACACAGGAATTAGCTTACAGTTTGGCAAAAAGGAACAAGGGTATGAGATAGGGGGTCATGTGTCAAGAGAGAGGAATCTTTGTGTATTTACAAAGACACAGCATGCAGCATTATCTTCATTGACATGCATGGGCTAAAGAGTAATTTTATACTTCCCCTCAGTAGTCTGTGTGTAACATACATATGAAAAGTCAGAAGCTTTGTGAGCCTTCGAGACTGCATCCAAGTGTCTGTGATCATGAGTTGCCCTGGGCTTTTAACCACCTTTGTTTGTTTTCCTTTAGGTGTCCTCCCATTTGTCAGTTTGCCTTTTGGATTTTGGCCCCTATCCAACCACACTGCATTCATTAAGCGGGCTTTGCTGACATGCCCGCCCCCTTTACAGATGCTGAGCTTATATCCTGAGACCACACCAGGTTTTGTGTCACGTTCCTAGCCCATTTTCTGAAGGCCAGCTCTGGTCTCTTGTATTCCGTAACCAGTAACGATACTCTGTTCCCAAAGAGAAGGCCGTACATTTATTTCAGTGAAATTGCATCCTGCAAGACACACAGGATCTTCTGGTAACCTCTTAATATATACAATCTTTGACTTTTACTAGAATATACGTAGGATTTGTCTCAACATATTAGCCAAATAGAGATTCATTTGATTATCACAGTTGTTTGGTCTACTGTAAAACTCCTCTCTACAGCTGCCAACCGCTTCCCTAATCAGAGTTCATGCCCTATGCTCTTCCCTGCTTTCCCCTTCATATGTACATAAACTCATACTGTACCACAGCTACTCGTTTTATCACCTTTTGCCTCCCTTAGGTGTGTTAAGGTTTTTTTTTGGGGGGGGGGATGATGGGGTTATTTTCTTCCCTATTGGGCTCCATGTTTGTTATAGCTGAATACAGCACGTCCTCACTTACCTCTGTAAAAATGTTGACCATCATATGGGCAAGGCCAGATTCAGTGGGACCTGCTAGAGGTCGCTGGCCCTCACAGATTGCTAAGGATCATTTGATGACTTACAAACCCACTTGACGCTATCAACACCCAGCCTTAGTCCTCCTCACTTTATACACAGGGTATCAAGAGAGCTGATCACACTTTTTGCCACAATTAGATATCTCATCATAGAGATGGGCCTCTCATCTATCAGTCTGGAACTTCTCCTCCCTCTCCCCCAAAGGAAACGGGCTCCATCTGATCTGTGTTATCTCTCTGCCTCTTGCTAACTGCATACAGATTATCCTTGTGATGTCTCATCTGAAATTCTGCTCCAAGACAGCATTTTAATCAGTGGCCTTTCCAAACCCTGTGACTACCTGCCAGGAAGTCCTTCCAGATACAGTGTCCCTTGGCCCAGGCTCAGGACCTTGTTCCTGAGGCGACAGGCACATGGCACCAGGAGTCAGACAGCTTAGGTTCAAAGACACTGCTTCATCAAGTATTAGAATATTGTGGGTTTGTTGTGGGTTTTTTTGTTTTTGTTTTTGTTTTTCTAGTTCTCAACATCTATAGTCTATAAAGATGATAACATAACATTCAAAATATGATACTTTATATATTCCTATTTGATCACATCCTTTTGGCTCTGTATCTTGTTGCTATATACATAGACAAAAAAAGATCCTAGATTTGCCAGACAGGGTGACACAAGCCTTTAATCATCCCAACACTTGGGAGGCAGAGGCAGGCAGATCTCTAAGTTCGAGGCCAGCTTGATCTACAGAACAAGTTCCAGGACAGCCAGGGCTTTACTGAGGAACCCTGTCTTGAAAATCCAAACCAAACAAACAAATAAAAAAAAAAATCCTAGATTTGGAGTTTTATTTATTTTCTTTAATTTTAGTATAGGTCCGTTTCATTTTCATCCCAGATTTACCCCAGTAGCCTCCTAACTGGCTCCAGGCCTCTCATCTCATGTTTTTCTACTTTAGGACTTTTCAGAATCCGGCCTCTCAGGCATGATTAATGGGAGCCTGTGAGAGGCACATCTACACTTCTCGGGCCCCTTTCAAAACCTACCAAATCAGAATCCACACGTCCACGGGGCCTGCACGTGACTACATTCAAGCCTGAAACACAGTCTCCTCTCTTATTCCATACCACTCCCCACTGAAGGAGCATCCTTAATATTCACGTGAACTGTCCCCCAAACTATCCCCGCCAGGAATGAACCACCTCAACTTTCAGATGAGATGCTTTTGACATTGTTGGCTGAGAGGCAACGTGTCAAGTTACTTTAGAGCAGCTATAAAAATAATCAAGATTCAATTAGAGACTCCCTTCTAGCAGCAGCAAAATGTACTGTTTCTCAGTGGTAAGAGGGCATTTGGGAAGCATGCGTGATGGGCTGAGTCCCTCTTCCTTATTTTGTACTTATTATGCCTTAGACACCATGACAAGCATTTTTCTTCTTAATTTAATTCTTACCATAATCTATTTAGACAGATATTTTTGTCTTTATTTAACATATGAAAAAAAAAATCCAAAACAAAACTGATGGTTTTGACTATAGCATTTGTAATACAGACTCTGAGACAGGTAGTTCAATCCTAAGAAGCCAGGGAACCTGGGGTTGGGGGGAGGCACTGATACTCTCTCAGATGACATCTAGTTTTCTTCTCACACATGGCCTCATCATCACCGGTGTCCATGTGTTTGGCACATGTCCCCGCCCTTGGGAAGGAGGAAAGGAAAGGGGAAGGGCGTTCAGTTTCTTATGGAAACATAATCCGAAGTTCTACCTGTCATTTCCGCTTACACTCTGTTAATCAAAGCCTGCACACCTGGCCACATACAGTTGCAAAAAGGCAAAGAAATGTAGGAACTTGGAAGTTATTTACTAGAAAGAAAAAGGGGAATAACTAACAAGAGAAATTAGTAGTTCTGGCCCAACGCCTAACTCAAGGATGAGGTTCAAAACCTGCCACCAAAATTTGCAGTCTTTTTATATAATAGACTGTCAATAGACGTTGAACTGAGATCTACTAAGATATATGTGTAAGCTTTTTTTATGGCTTGGAGTCATTTATTCCTTTTTCTTCGCTTCCTTGACTACCAAAGTGATCCTGTGACAACTTATTTTATCAAAGATACTTTTACTTATGAAACAGGACACATATCATATCAGTTGAGCAGAAACATTATAATAAAACAATCCACCAATTGTTCTCTAGGCTTTATAATGAAACTTCATTTTTTTACATTTTGACAGGTGGTGTGTGTTTGTTTGTGTGTGTGTCCATGTGCAGGAATGTGTTGTGCATGTACTTGCTAGCACATACATGTGGAGGTCAGAGAACATCTTATAAGAGTTGGTTCTACCCTTTCCTTTCACCATCTGGGTCTTGAGAATCAAACTCAGGCAATCACAGTCTGAATTTTTTATTTTATTCCAAATAAATACCTGCTGATTTATTTTGTGTTCCAGATAACCAATTCACATATTCATTGATAAGCACTTGATATATATATATATATATATATATATATATTTCCAAATAATATACACATATATGTATATATGCATGCATACATATTCTACAAAATGATTCTACACAAATCATTTTTATCAAACAATCACGGTCTTTACAAGAGACATTTGTCTTAGGAGAATGTCATTGTTCTAAACACTTCAAACATTTAATTTTTTCTGGAGTGTGGTCACCTTGTGTGCGATAATTCTTCATGACGGCGCCACCAAACATCCAGAGACACAGCAATTTTTATCTCTCCTGCATGTGGGCCTGGGTGGCTAGCTCTTGTCCAGGCACTCTTTGACTCTCCTGATGTAGCTGACTAGTTTGAACCTGTTTTCCTCTGGCTATGGCAGAAGTGTAAGATGGAAATACTTGAGGCCTAGGCTGGGAACTGGCATAAGCCAAAACAAACCATGTAGCCAAACCCATCGTCAAAAGCCAGCAAAAACGCACCATGCCTTCAGCTAAAGAAAATACAGTCACATGATAAAGGGCAGAAGAACACTCAATAAGGAGTTGGGACCGTAAAACAGCTCTCCATTGCTTGCCCCAGAAATTTGTTTTGAATATTTGTCATAATAGTAACTATTTTAAGGGTAGGTTTGATTTTTTAACAGCTAAGTTATGTATAAAATGAGAGAGTTAGGGTAGGTTAATCATTGAGCAGAGAGCTAACTATTTAACCATGTCATATAAAATAATCTTATTTCCGGAAGAATTTGTTTAAGAATATAGTATTTAGTGGCATAGTATTTGAGATAATTGTCTTTCTTAGATAATTGTCTTTCACTTTGGGATGATTAAGACTCATTCAAACATGTGGCTCCAAAAAATGTTTTTTGTTGCTTTTTTGAGGCAGAATCTCTGTATGTAACCCTGGCTGTCCCAGAACTCACTATGTAGACCAGGCTGGCCCCAAACTCATAGATATCTGCTTGTCTCTGCCTCCCAGGAGCTGGGACTAAAAAGACATGTGCCACCATGCCCAGATTTTTAAAAATATTTTTAATAATAAATTTGATGAATTGTTAAGTCAGCTGTCAAGGTAGAGAGGGAACCAGAGGAGGCCCGTGTTAAACTTTTGTCTAACTCTAGAAAATATGCTCTCTGTACAGGTTCTCATTGCCAAGTCCCCTCTGGCGCCCTTCACCTCCTTTGTCTACACCATCAAGGGAGAAGGCCTGGTTCTTCAAGGTAAGAGCCTTCAGTTAAACCATTTCTGGAAGCACGTTCTTCTCAGTGCTTCCCAGAGCCCCTGGCAGGTACTGCTTGGGTCTTCTCAGATGCTAGCTCTGGACAACCCAAAGGCCAACGCTGTTTAGCCAATGACAGTTATTTGACTCTGATAAGATCAAGAGATTTGACCTTCGGAACAAGAATTTGACCAACAAAGGAAGGAGGAAGAACTTCAGGACTTAATAACAGAATGGACAGGCTGGGCTGTCCTCAGTGGTAGAGCACTCATATACATTTTTGCATTATAGCAAACAAAACGAAAAGAAAAACAAACAGAAACCTTCCAAGTGGGACAGCACTAACAACCCCCCCCCCCAAAAAAAATGAGTGCTCAATTTATTAAGTGATTCTGTAGAACAATTTGAAGTATGACCATAGAGTCCTGATAATAATCTTTTTTGCTTGTGTGTGTGTGTGTGTGTGTGTGTGTGTGTGTGTGTGTGTTTTCATGTGTGCCTGTGTGTATTGAAACCTGAGGTTGACAGGTGCCTTCCTTCCTTACTGTCTGCCTTATGTTTGAGGCTGGATCTCTTGCCAAATTCGGACTTCTCCCTTTTGGCTAGTATGGCTAGCCAACTTGCCTCAGGGGATCTTCTGACTACCTCAGCTGTCATCACCACCTTTCCACATGGGGTCTGGGGTTCTGAACTCTAGTCATCATACTTTCCCTCCTGAGTAGGCTCCCCAGCCCCATCAATGGGGTTTTTAATTATCTAAGTTTGGTTTTAAATACTTGAAATAGTCTCCTTTAAAGCAGGTGTTTGTTCTCAGGAGAATGTCTGGAACACTTCTGATGGTTTGTGAGAACTTGCCCCTACCATCTCCTTTCTGGATGCTATGGTGTGAACTGTGCAAAGTTGTCCATGCCAGCATGACAAAGATCTCCCTCTGAGCCCACTACCTGCAGAGCTGTGGGGGTGGGGGGCTCCTGAACCTCCACTTCCCTGTGCTGAAGTCTCAGAGACACTTCTAGCTTATGATTTGTGATATCATGGTCCTGGGACTTGAAAGGAGTCAGGTTCTTATTCAAAGCAGAACTCCACTGGGCCACAACCTGAAACTCACTGATTAGTGGTGGTTCAACCCCAGATGCTTGGTACCCTGGTTAGAAGAGGCTCTTGATGTTCGCAGGTCTTTCTGGAGAGTAGTTAATATGCAAAGGGAAATTCAAGACTTAGACGCCTCTGTCTCTCCAGATCAGTGTCTGAAACTGCTCTATGGAGTCAGTAGTGTTCAGAATTCACGCCTGTTCCCCACTGTCAGGCCAGAGACCCCGCCCACAGGAATTCATAGGTGAACATCTGCCCTGAACCGTAAAGAGCCTCCTGCCACTGCTTTGCAAGGGAGGAATGTCTGCCCTGCAGGGTTTTATGAACTCAGGTTTTACCCCAGGTTTGTAAAACAGGCCAGTTTCTCCAATGTCCCCAAGGAGGTCCTGCACTGCAGAGACCCAGCATGGGCGGGATGGAGAGTTCATGCTTCTGGATGACAGCTAGGCTGTAGCCCTCCCTTTCCTTCCCCCTCTAAACCGTCTGCTTCTTAATGGACTCTCAAGCAGTGTATTTGTTTGGTGCAGCTGAGCTCCACAGCGGGAGGCTCTCAGGTCCACAGAAATTTGGGGTAAGAACCGCTGACCTTTGGCTCTTAGCCTTTGGCTTCTGCTATCCGAGTTCCTTGGTAAATATTTTTTTTTTTTTTAACAATTGCAAATACTGTTTTCTGACAAAGAAGCAGAGATTTTAAGACCAGATTAAGCAAAGCAAACAGCAGGCCCCTTTGTTACATACTCTCTAAGGGTGTATAACTAATAAGTAGTCAGAAAGCTGGGTTTATATTTACCCAGCGCACAGTGCGGGTGTTGAGAGCCTCATTTTTAGAGGCTGTCTTAAAAGATTAGTAGCCTAGTGAGTAGAAAATGTAGATGAAGATTTCAGAAAGCCTATGGAAGATGGCAAGCTAAATTCAAGGAGAAAAGAATCTCTTCTGCAGATAGCTTGTCCTGAAAGCCTCGCTGTGAAGCCCCCTAAGCATGTCTATAGTGGGTTACATCGCGGTGTTCACAAGGGCCAGATTCATTCCTAAGGTCATGATCCAGATGAGGAGAGGGAATTCAGAGAAGAGTAGAAGCTGAGTGGAGGGCAAAACCCAACAGTAAGGGTCTCACGAGCCCAAGGAACTGAGTGAATTTAAGTCCCAGAACCTACATTAGAGAGAGGGGAAAAAAAAGCCAAACAAACAAACAAACAAACAAACAAACAAAAAAATGGATGTCATGGTGCATACCTGTAATCACAGCAATCCTACGAAGAGATGAGAGGCAAAGGCAAGAGAGTCACCCCGAAGTTGGGCTAGCCTGGAGTATATAAGCAATTATACCAAGTGAGACACTGGTGTAGAGAGGCTAAAAAAAGGCTTTGGTGGTTAGAAGTGACCTCTACTTTTGCAGAGGACCCAGGTGTGATTCCCAGCGTCCACTGCAGCTCACACCCATCTGTAACTCCAGTCCCAGGGGATCCAGTGCCTCTTGTGGCCTCTTTGGCTGCAAGGCACATATGTGTTGCACATACATATATGCAGGCAAACCACTCTCACACATAAAATAGAATCTAAAAAGAAAAAAATAAGCCAAGGTGGAAGAAGAGAACAAGTCTTAAAAATTGTCCTCTGACTTCCACGTCCATGCTATGTCATACGTGTGCATGGTTGTATAGATGCACATAATAACAATAATAATCTAGCAAATAATAACTACAGAGGAAGCTAGAAACCAGCAAAGAAAGCATGTTACTGAAAAGGATGGACCTGAATCAATATATCCAAGAAAGAAAAAAAAAATGCAAGAAAATGTTATAATGCAAAGTCCCCAACCAATAAAAACATGCTCAAAAGAGGGGCTCCAAACCTTTCTCTCATTTCTGCTCCCCAAGAAGCACTTTCCTCTCCGAGGGAACCCTGCTTCCCCTTTCAACAATGCCTCTGAACACAACCTCACATGCCCTGACATCTTGCCATGTGCTTCCAAGTCTTCTGAGGAGTGAGAGAGACAGGAGCTGTGCTCCCCAGAAAAATCAAGCCTCTTTTATTGAAGCAAACGCTTGGTTTTCAGTTCCAGTTCTGCTGTGACGTTGAGAAAAGTCTCTCTTGGCCCCTAGCTTCAAGAACCATACAGTAACCTGCTAGCAGGCTCTAATGAAACTGATAGCTCATAACCAAGCATAACCTGAGTTTCTACCTCAGGAAGAAAGGGAGGTGGAGAGAGAAGAGCAGAAGGGGAATAGGAAAATATCAGGTTACGTTGCATGCATTGGATCTTTTCATGTGATATTTAGCCCTTATGTGTGCATATATGAACCTGGCGAGTTTATGGATCTACATCACAGGGACCTGTGGCTTGGACTGCAATAAGCAGCCTGAGCAATCTCTAAAGGCCTCCAGACTTCTGCTTTTCCGCTTCTCCTGGGAGGCCACGTACTTCTCCTCTTTCTCAGTACAGTTATTCCCTTGAGATGACCACTGGCTGAAACACACAAGCTTACTTTCAGCCCCTGAAGGGGTGCCCAGCATGCTGAAAGACCTCAGGTTTAAAGCAGAGAATCCTTGCTCTCTGAGTAATAAACCTAGAGACCAGCAGTTAAGGTTTCTTGGCGGGAGGGGCTGCTCTGGCTAGACAGCCAGACTAGGACCGGCAGGCAGTTCATGCCTGCGGGACACAGAGAAGGGTGGTGGGAAGGTTATCTAGGAGGCTGAGGCAGGTCCTGGGCTGCCACTGAGAAAAGCAGGTGCTATTGTGGAGTCGTGTCAGTCTCTGGGAGGGAGTCAGGCTGGAGTGGTGGGGAAGCGCTGTTACCCCCTGCACGCTGCTCTGGGGGTGGAGCTGTTAGTGACCGTGGGAATGGTCCCTTGGTGCCTTTTATCCCTCTGCAAACCCCAAGATTCCTAATACCTGAAGCTTTCTGAGTGCACAGCCGAGGGAGGGAATGAAAGGTGAGGGCAAGATGTGATTTACCAAGCTCCACAGGCCATTCCCCTCACTGGTTCTCAAGGATTAGGATGCTGAGAGCAACTGGGGGCGCTGACACCAGTCCCTCCCCTTTGTTCACTGGGATGGGAGGGACAATGAAAGGGCAGGCTGGAAAGACCAAGGGGCTGGCTAGAGATTTCTCAAGCTGCTTTTTGAAACACTTGAAGGAGCCAGTCCGTGCTATTGTTGTCGCAAAATAAAAAGCGGAACTATTCTCCTTTGGCAAAAAAGAAAAAAAAAAAAAAAGAAAGAAAGAAAAAGTAAAAGAAAGAAAACCACCCTCCCAGGCATCTTCAGGAGGCTACTGGACTGAAGCTATTAACATGGTAATACCATCCTGTTTGCATCTTCTTTGTCTGCCCAGCATTTGTCTGGGATTCTGCCTCCTCATGCCTAGGCCCTAGAGCCTGGAAATACTTAGGCCCCAAAGGAGAGGAATCCAAGTCCACAGTGGCCACCAGCTTCCACAAGCCCTGTTCTCTATCAGGGGCCAGGTGGACTTAGAGGGAGAGTTCAGGCCTTTGTTCAACGGGAGTGAGGATGTTGGGAATAGAAAGGAACCATGAATCTCATTTTCCTTTAACCCTCCATGGAAGCTTCAGTACCTACCAAGCGGAAAAGCTTGCCGAGGGCTGAGTGAGGCAGAGAGGTGTCAGAACTGATGGCTAGGAAAAAACAGTTGATTTGAGGGATGGATAGAGCACCGGCTACAAAGGGGAAGGGAGAATTTTCAGGGAACTCCAACTTGACCCATGTTCTCTGCTCATGCCTATTGTCTTAGTGAGCTCCAAATGTGTCACCAAGAATGGAGCTCAAACTCGGAGATGGGAAGTGGCCAGGTGTGTTGCTGATGCTGGGGGTAGAAGGGGCCGGCCGTGAGGGTGGGAGAAGCCAGCTGGCCCTCCAAGAGCCAGCCCTGTTTTCTTGGGGCCTGGATGAAGGAAGGAGCTGGCCCAGAGACAGGAGAGGACAGAATAGGCCTGCTGTTTACTGCTTTGCCTTGCATTCTCCTTTCCTCAGGAATTCAGGGAGTGGTTGGAAAAGCAGAAAGCCAAATTGTTTTAAGAAGACAGCTTCATTGCCTAGTGAGACAGAATTATGCATGTCTGCCATTGTTCTTACACCGCCAGGCTCTAGCGTGACATGTTAGCTTTGGGCCCTGTGCTGTCTTGTACTAGTTTAGGTTTGAAGGAGCTGAGGTGGGGTGGGGCCCATGAGAGGAGACAGAACCATCCCAACACGGATCCTGAGAAGGAGCTAGACATAAGCTCCAGCCATTTACCAGACTCAGGTGGAACTAGAAAATAAAGAAGCTATTTCTTTTGAGATCTGGACAGCTGTGTCTCTGCTTTCTTGATCAGCTTTTACCATCAAAGATGCCTTGTTTGCGTACCTTTGGAAGCTTATGGGGAAAGACATTAATCTGCTCTGCATGTTTGTCACAAACTTGGGTTAAACTCTCCAACCCCATTTTTCTTAGTACTAAGCCACCTGGGAAACAATATCCAAGAGTTCTTCCCCTCAGATCCTGCCATATGGGGTTTATTAGCCTTCATTTAGAATCAGTATTTCATCTAAATGTTTCTTTCTTTCTTTCTTTCTTCCTTCCTTCCTTCCTTCCTTCCTTCCTTCCTTCCTTCCTTCCTTCCTTCCTTTCTTTCTTTCTTTCTTTCTTTCTTTCTTTCTTTCTTTCTTTCTTTCTTTCTTCTCCTGGACATAAAGTGACCCAGAAAATTCTCAATCTTTTTTTTTTATCCAGGTACAGAAGTGTCTGCATGGTAAATACATCCCACATACCTGGCACAGCCCAGCGTTCATGTGGAAGACTGGGCCAAGAGCCCTGGGGTTCTGTGGAGCAGGCAGCATTAATTCTCCTTCCAGAGGTCATTGGGAGGAAGGCACAGCTGGTTTGTTACTGTGTCCCTGACCCAGCAGGTCCTGGTGCAGCCTCAAGAGGCTTCCCCTCCTCCCAGGGTTTGGTGGCACAGCCCCACCTACCCAGTGCTCTTCTCTTTTGACATTTATTTCACATTCCCTTCCCCATATTGCCCTTCAACACTCACCGTCAGCTTGTTCCTTATTTCCTTCTGACCATGAGCTTCAAGGCTCAAGCCTGTAAAACCAGCCCTGAAGCCAGCCCCCCCACACCTAAGGGTTCACATGCAAAGCTCTCCAGGGTCATACCTCTTTCCCTGCCATTCCTGAACGCTTTTCTGTCTAGGTGTGGATCCGCATGGAATAACTTCTTCTGGGATGCAGTCTAGAAATTGCATAAATGGTTAACATACACATTTCCCAACTTTTCTTTTGTCATTTAACATGTTTCTGTGATATATCTACGTTGACATATATAACTCATGTTCTTTTACTTCAGGTATACCATATCCACTGCATGCAATCCCACTCCCCTTTTTTATGGTCATTTTTATAAAGTTATATTATTTTCATTTTATGGGCATGTGTGTCTGTCTACTACATGTGTGCCTGACGCCCAAGTTCAACTTCCTCCCTGAAGACGGTCCCGCTTTCCACTCCCTCTGAAAGTAGTAAACCAATTTCTACACAGTTGCGTATTATCGTGAGGGTTTTTCGGATTTTCCTAGACTCTTTGTGCCTCTGTCAATTCTGCCTTGGGAATGCAAGCTTTCCTGTCCTCTGCTGAGACCTACACTGCACGTATGTGCTTCTGGCATCTACTTAGGTGCTTAATGATGAGAATAACTTCCCTGCATAAAGTTAGCTGTACACGCATTTCCTACAAAACACTTGAGGTCTCATTCACCACTTTTTCCTTCGGGTAAGGAAACAAGAGTTCCAACAGGTGAAGTGTGTCCACTGCCTCCAGGGTGGGTTTGGAACCCTTTCCAAGCATTCGGCCTGACATTTAAGACACTCATGCCTCTGGGCCCTCCCCTGTCATGGCAAGCCGTGTAGCCATTTACCTGGGCCTCTGTCGACATACTGCAGGCCGGTCCCAATTCTTAAATCTTGATACCCTAAGCTAAAAGATGCATCAGTTGTACTGATACAGGATCTCTTGGGAAATTCCAGAGGGTAGTTGGGTTGTAGCCTTGCTGGGCTTAACCCCGGGGTTAAAGAGTGCCGCACAGCGCCAAAAACTTGTGCTTTCTCACACACCGTTGTGGAGGGATGCAGCTCAGAGCCCGGCATGTTTGCTCAGGGATCTAGTCTATCAGCTTGGCGCTCCTTCACACCTCAGATATCTCGTTGTCATCTGAGCCCGTGATGGCTCAGCATCATGTCCTCCTTCCATCCAGGCAGCAGGATCTGCGTTTGATAGGGAATAATGGCCACAGGGAAGGCATCCCTCTTCCTTTAAGGACAGTTACCCCGAAGCTACACCTGAAGTTTCTTGTATGGTGTGGGCCAAGCTTTAGATGAAATTCTCCACAAGAGAATTTGAAAACGTTATTAAAATGAGTGGTCAGATAACCAAGTAATCCAGGGGGCGCTGCTACCATTTCTGGAAGGAATTTCAATGATGCATCCCCTTCAGAGGCCAGTCACAGAGACTGCAGGTACATTAGTACAGATCCTAGGGCTGTTACAGCCTTGGGATGCAACGTAAATACTGAATGTATTTAAAAACAACAACAACTCTGCCTCCTCTTTGGTTTCAGAGACTGTAGCAGAAGAATAAGATACAGCAGTCAGTTACTCTGCCAAAAAATCCTGTCTCAACACCCCCTCTCCCCATCTTTTAAGCAGGATCTTCAGTATGTGATTTACTAGAATGGAAGAACTTAAACTTGGGTCCAAAGTCACAGACTAAACACATTCTTTTCCCAAACGGTTTTTCTTTTTTTCTGCCTACACTTTTTTTTTTCTTTAAACATTGAACAAGACGTCAGTTGAAATAAGGCTAGAGAAGGAAAGCCTTTATTCTAAGACCTGGAATACACTTAGGCTGGCTGTGTGCACCTCCTCTAGAATCTGGAAGTCATTCGCAGAGTTAATAATTTGCATTTGTTAAGATGCCCAGGTAATAATACCAAAAGATGTTAAATCAATTCGGGTTGTTGATTTTCTTTGTAAATCACTTCCAAAAGGACTTGGCGTTCCTTCTAGAATATGATTCAAGCTCCGTGACGGTTAGTTCAGTTCGGAGCATACTAGTTGGACACCTATTGTTTACAAAGCTAGGTGCTCCAGATGCAGAGGACATAAGAAGGTAAGGGTAAAGTCTTTTTTTTTTTTTTTTTTTTTTAAGATAAATTTAATCAAAAACAAACTGGCACCTGTTACAGAGGTTTGAACAATGGGGCTTGAAAGGGATAAAGAGACAGATTCTTCCCAGCTTGGGATGACTAGGCAAGGCGCCTGAGAGCACTCGGGGCTTGAACTGGATTCTGCTGGTGAATACAGGCAAAACCCACATCCCATTGTCTCTTGTCAGGGGCCAATTTCTTTTGCTGTTTGAGGATAGATTTGGAGACACTGGGGAATGCTGATTAGTTCTATCACTAACGCTGATTAGTGGCAAATGTTGAATCATGCTGACTAATGTGTTCTAAATGGATTGACTCAACAATAAAGGGAACACTGAGAGTCAAGAGTTCAGGTCCTGAATCTCACCCATGTGATGAAATGCAAATCACATCACCCCTTCCTCCTTTTTTCTTCCTTTCTTTCTTCTTTCTTTCTCTCTCTCTTTCTCTCTTTCTGTCTGTCTTACTTTATTTTATTAGTCAATTAAAATATGTTCATCCTGAGAACCCAGTAAGTTACCTTGATTAGTAAGTGCTTTACAAACCTCAGGGGTGACGGAAATGCAGAGGAGCTACCAGGCCAGGCTTCTGCAACCCTTGTTTATTTCATAGTCCATGCCGAATCAGGCCGTCCTCCACATGCTGCTCAGTAGCCATGCGAAACTTCCATTTCCTCACATGTGCCACGAGAACCAACAAAGAGCAAGCCGCGCTTTCAAGGCTGACAGATAGAGGAGCTTTTGAGAAATCTTCTGTCTACCTACTGGGGAGGCTGTGCCTCTGGACAACAAATGTCATCACAAAACTAAGCGCTTGCACTGCGCACATAGCTCTTTCTCTCTTTTGACATCTCCCCAGCTAGACTGCTTGAGAACCTGGCCTTCTACGTCCAGATGTTTACTGAATTCTGAAGCCCCCCCCCCCGCCCCCAAAGAGCCCAAATTCTTTTGTTACTCTTCAAATCATTTCCCACAGAGACTGACCAATGTCCTGAAGGAGCCCTTCAATGGGGAGGATAAATGAAGGCAGATGAAGACATGACCCCCTGAGGCTTGCTCGCAACCGCTCCAACAAAGGGCCAGAGGCACAACCTTGTAAAGAGTGTTTTGGTCAGCAGTGTCCCTATGAGAGGCCAAGTCTCCCCTACAGGGCTGCTTTCAATGGCTATCACCATAGTGGAAGTAGTAGGCATTTGTTAAGGGCTGTGGTGTGCTAGGTGTAGCATAACACATCTAAATCATGGCTCCCAGCCTTTGTGAGGGTTTTTCTGAGGCCACAGATGGCAGCTGGCTTTCTCAGGGGAAACTTGGGGGTAACAGAAAAGCCAAAGAGGGGCTCCTGTGTCTTTGGATGATCCTTTCCTACCTCGTATAGACAGACTTCCCCTTTTGTATGTGGCTCTTGGCAGTCAAGCCAGAGTTGCTGGACCTTAACCCTGAGTGGGCCATTTCTGAGTGTCTCTGGGGCATGCAATGGTTGGGCTCTGGGAGGGGACTACCGCCACAGGAAAAGCTGTGTTTAGGTTACTGTGGGAATGCTACATTTCATGACATTTTCTTTTTAACTTTCCCCTTTCTTTCTCTCTCTCTCTCTGTTTCTCTCTTTTTAGGCCAAGAAAGGCCATAGAGATACTGTGACCTTTGTCCAGAGCTGATGGGGGTGTGATTTGTGAAATGAAACAGGATGGTGCTGCTTGGAAAAAGGAAAACGGAAGCCGACATAATGAGGATTAATTGGTTGATTGCTGTTGAGATGGTAACAGTGATTTCAGACCCAGAAGGGAAGGTGAAGATGAAGAAGCCTTTGTCCTGATTCTAGATGCAGAGTCTGGCGAGGGGCTCCACCGCCCTGGGATGTCAGCAGCCATAAGAATAATTTGCACTTACATAGCACCTTTCAACCATGTACCTCAAAGCGGTTTAGCCACATTAATTAATTAAAGCCCACAATCCCCCTGGGGAGAGGAGGAGGAGGGCTAACAAGATTTGTAATTACAGAAGGGAACATTTCCGAATAAAGTATTGTCCGGAGAATAAAAAGAAAAGGTGTACAAAGAATCGGGATCTCCAAAGAGTAACTGATTCACAAATGAAATCATGAAACCTTCGGGGAAGCTGGAGGCGGGCATGGACGTGGGGGTCTGCTCTTGTGTCAGAGGGAGGTCGATGGCCTCAGAACTCACTGACAGGCTCAGATCCAACCTCGAAGCTGAGCGTGCATGGTATTGCTGTTGTTTGGAAGGGTCATTAGTGGCGTAACTATTGTAAGTATAAATTCACGTTCCGCTCGTGTACTGTGTGCAGACTTGCAGAACAAAGTGAGATTCTTGCAGTATTTAATAGAGGATGAAGTGATTTCTTTAGAGTTGAAGCCCAGAGGTAGACCACTCAATTAGCAAATAAATCAATTGGTGACCCATGGGGTAATTCAGTCCATTCCCTAGGATGCCTGGCCCACGGGCTTCTACTGCCCTGAGGGTCCTAGCTGAAGCATCAGATTGAGCTGGTTCAGTGGAATGTTTGGGGGCTTAAGCCCCTTCAAAGTCAAGTTTGGACTCTTCCCAGGGCTGGCAGGATGGCTCAGCTGGTAAGGGTACCTGCCACTAAGCCTGATGACCTGAGCTTGGTCCTCAGAGCCTACACATTGAAAGGAAAGAACCAGCTCCCCAGAGCTGTCCTCCGACCTCCACATATACACTTTGTACACACAAAAGAGAGAGAAAGAGGAAGGAAAGAGAAAGGAAAGAAAGGAGGAATAAATGTAAATTTTTTTTTTTTTTTTTTTATTGAGACATGGCTGGAAACTTGTTATACAGACCAGGCTGCCTGAATCCTTTCTTTCTAGTACTGGGATTAAAGGCATATACCACTGTGCTATGCTATAAGATTACTTTTAACAGCAGTCTTTCCAGCCTCTGGCACCCTGTCATCTAAGTTCTTAGTGACCCCAAACTGTAGAGTCACTTTCTGCCTGCTCCCACTTCAGAGATTTTAAATGTCACAGAAGCTATGACAAGGATTCTGTCTCATTCCCTGCCTCCTGTTGGTGTCCAACAGGGTGCTGTGCAAAAAGTGAGGTGACGGTGGTGAAAGACTGACTCTGCTAAACAAATTAACTGTTGAGCATATAACAATATAAAGTAATAGAACCCATGTTTCCCTCAACAAATAAGATTACAAGAAAACTCATCCTAGTAACTGTACTACAAAATACAATGAAGCCTTGTGGTGGATAATGTTGAGGCTCCGCGTTGCAGGGGATGGGAAAAGTGTCTTGCTATGCTGGAAGCATGTTCCTGAGGAGCCAGTGGGCACGCTGGGTATGAGGGTGCCAGGAGGATTTGTATAGGTCTGGAAGAAGCTGCCCTGGCGGACACTCCAGTTGAAGCCTCGTGCTTCCTCGGAGTGAGAGATATTTTGAGAACTTGTGCTTTCTCCGTAGAATGCTTGTGCAAATGAAGCTGCATTTTGCAGTTGATTAAGTGTAAATTTCTGGTGCGTTCTTAGGACACGATTTGGCTAACTTAAGACAACGGAGGAGTATTTGAGAAGATGAAGATGAGGTTTGATGTACGCTAGCCCCGTATATAAGGAAACAACAGAAGGAAGATTTATGCCCTCCCCCCTCTCTTTTTTTCCTGAGCAGCTCATAAAACCTAGCCAGCTTTCCCCTGAAGTAGGTCATAAAGACTTCAGCTTAGAGGTGCCCTCCCTGGGCCCCAAGGAAAGGAATGCTCTTATCTCTCAAAGGCATAGGGATGAAGAGAAGAATATGAGCAAACAGACCAGCTGTATCTGCCCCCTAGTTTACTGCCATTAGATCATATCTGCTTATCTTCCAATCATCCTGCTGTCCACTCTCCTTAAAAAGATAAAAGATTAAAAAAAAAAACTGCATGTTTTCCTGTTTCTTTGGGTCTCCCTTTCTGAGGACTCTGTGCCATATAAAACATATTAGATAAATGTATATGCTTTTCTCTCATAAATCTGTCTTTTGTTGTAGAGGGCTCACCATGGTCCTTGCCATGGGGGAAGGAAAAAGTACCAATGTTTCTTGCCTACAATTTCTGGCACCCAGCACGGAGAGGCTGTGACCCTCCCCTTGAGCTTAGAGATGACGTCCTTGGACAACTGACAGAAAGCCAGCAGCGTAAAAATTCCTACCAGGTCGGTTCTTCCAGATCTGTCTGCAATGCCTGCAGGTTGAGAGGAAGGTAGAGACTTCTTCCCACGCTTCCCAAATTGGTATCAACAGGACAACAACATGTGTTTGAATTGACTGCCTGGCCAAAGCTAGCTGGGAGCTGTTACTCCATACCCCCTCTTTCTCCTTACTTGCCTTTTCAGATCCCCAGTAGTTGGCTTCACTTTCCACTTACCAGGGCACCCAAGTAGTTCAGTTTTGCATATACAGGCAGCCATCTTTAGGCTGGAGAGCCACAAGAATATAGCTGCACTAACCTGTCCCTAGTGATGGCAGCTCTTAGGAGGGTCTTTCTGTCTTCCCTTCTTACTTCCTTTCTTTGGGGGTTGGTCCTGGATCTGGCAAGAGATGTCTATGTCTTTTTGTCTCTCTTCTGATGACACATTTCCTCTGGTGTTTATACACACACACACACACACACACACACACACACACACACATTCATATATATATTGTTCTGGGTTCTGCATCACTTAATAGGTACCTTTGGTTTGAAAGAAGAAAAGAGTAAATAACTATAGAGCACTTTCTCATGTGAAGCTGTGCTTTGTTATAGAGGTGTCGGCCATGGGCCTTGTGATGAGTGAGGAGGGACCATCTTCTCTTCAGGAAAAATGTTTCTTGTCTACCACTCTTACTTGGGTCCCTCTCCACTTTGGCTAAACTAAAAAAGAAGAGCGAAGCACCCTGCACATAAAAATGGATCAGTCAAAAGAGTCTGAGAGATATTACAAAAGAGAGACACCCACACCCCCACACACACACACAACCTAAAATGTGAATCCTGGAGACTCCTATTGTTTTTGTTTTTGTTTGGTTTTGACCCCAGAAAGCTCTGAGAACTCTCTACAGGGGTATACAGGGATTGCCCAGGGGTTGACAAACCCACACAGTCCCCTCCTGCTCTGAGGGTCCCCAGACCTCTGCCACATGCTGTGCTGCTGAGACAGGCCTGGGCACTGCAACAGCTCACAGCAAGCACTGTACAGTGTGTGGCACACTGGACACATGGGGGTAGATCCTTTCTACAGTCTAGTGAGGTGGGTTGCCATAGCATTCAAACAGGAGGCAGAGGCAAGAGAGGTCAATCACTTGATGGAAAAGCTGGAGTAGGGATTTGAACCCAGGCCCTTTGCCTTTGTGATATTTCTGTTCACAGCTACTGCAGCCTTCCTTACTCCTGCCCAATTCACCGAAGTACTCAGCCCAATTATAAACATAATTCTATAGAAACCAGCCATCATTTTCCACATAGTTACAGAAGAAATGCTGCTGGTTGGAGCCCATGCCCTGAATAGTGGCCGGAAGCTGAGGAAAATAATCACGTTGCCTTCTTCATTTCTGTCACTAGTAAAATACTGAGAGACACATGCAGGAAAGCCGCACGGGAGAGAAGACACAGCTGGGAACCTGCCAGGCTGGTGTAGCCAGGATGGGGGGTAGCTTGTATTGTTGTTCTTTTTATTGATGATGTCATTCTATGGAGTATTTTTTTTTTCAATGTATATGAACCTTTCTGTGGAGAGCAGCACTTTTGTCTCCCCTGTTGGGGTACTTCAGTCCTGGAGAAGATTCAGAAGAAGATTTGGATAGATCCAGAAATGCTGAACACTATGCATGCTGTCTTTTACGCTATGAGCAAAGCAAAATTGCCTAGCCAGGATTGCAAAAGTGTGTCTGTCAGAACCTCAGATTGCCCAAAGAGAATTCTAGGAACAGATAATAAGGATGTAGGTAATGGAGAAGAAACAAGTGAAAGCAGAAAGTACAAAGTGTCTGCTTCTGAGGACTGATCTTGGGTCTTGGCACTCCTCGTGTCAATTGTTGTGTGCTTGGTTTCAGTCTCATAGACATCTCTCTGCTCCCAGAGCTGTGGAAGGACAGCCTTTACTCCACTGAAGAGCTCACACTTCAACTCCAGGGGTCTCTTTTCAGACCGAAGGAAGGACCCGTCAGTATGCTCAGCCGAATATGTCAAGAGTGAGAGGAAATGTAACGCCTGCTTCCCTGAGTTCTGCTGAAGACAGTGATCAGATGAAACACATTTTCCAGCAGCCCATACAGACCTGGGAGGAAAGAAGAGCAACAAATCGCCATGTATAGAGCTGGAGGGATTTGATGTTGCTGCCCAAATACCAGGGACTTAAAGTCTGTGTGAGCCTGAGAGACTCCAGACATGCTCCCTCTGTGTGGTGGCTCCATGCTGCACTTCTGTGTCAAGGTGCCTGTCTACACTGCCACTTTGGTGGGGGAATGGGGATTTTAAGAGGCATCAAGAGGCTGAGAAGAAGGCTCAGGGGCCAAGAGCACTTGCTTCTCTCCCAGGGAATACAAGTTCAGATCCCAGGACAGGCAGGCACACACACACACACACACACACACACACACAAAGCAAGCACTGGCAATTAAGTTCTCCCCCTTTCCCAAGAAATGACACATGCTACTTCTCCCAGACTTTGCACTCCTGTAGCCGCACCTGAAGGGAGCAGGAAAGAGCAAACTCCCCTGAAGAGAGCTGGATATACCAGTGACCACCCAAACATCTGCTTCGGTGTACTGGCGTGGGTTTCCTCCCAAAGCCACTCCTTGTATATACCTCCTCCTTGGATCACTCGGCATATGCCAACAATCTCTGTGGCGCGGTGCTGAGGGAGGGCGACCTCTTTGAAAGAGAGGTCTAACCAGGGAGGGCCAATTAACTCAGAACTTTTCTCTCCATGCTGTTAGCTACCAATAGCTCTGGGAAAGAAGAGGGAGCTAAAAAGGAACCATGGCCTGCTCTTCCTGATACTCTGAAGATAAAACAGTAACTTTGAGCTGCCTGGGACAAACTTGCTTTGTGTGAAAAGGTTTC